CTAAAACATCCGTAGGTGAAGTTGATTGTGATGACGTCACACGGCTGAAAATTCTTCGACTGTGTTCACCTTATAAGCGCTCCCAACCGGGAATCGAGCTGTCGCTGTTGTTGGCCCACATGTCACGCTCATAGACTAGTGGTCAGGCTTAACCATCACTAGAAGTATACACTTGTAGACCAGTTCATAACACTTTTAACAACCGTTAATCTCACACATTCGTGTGGTGGTTTTGGTTGCTGTCTCTCGGTTACCCACTCAGAAGAAGCAGTGGGAAGGTTGACAAGTTGAAAGCACTGTCAAGGTGGAAATAGAGAACTCCTGTGGATTAGGGTAGCAAGGACATTGAGTAGATCCGCGAACGCCACTGTTTACGACACAGCCATATCACTCAGTGTCTCTGGCTATCAATCGTAATGACCCAAGGAAGCCCAATCCCACCTATGTGAGCGAGTCTCCTTGTCAGGTTTTTCACACCCCCATGCCAGGTCTTAGTTTGATCGCCCTTTACTTTTCCACCCACTACCTGCCTCGGTGAGTAGTGCGCATTGTGGCAACCTATTTAGTGACATGCGCAGCACACGCCCCAACCAAATTGGTATATGGAGGTCGACCAAAATTACCTAAAACTCTATTCCTAACCTCAACATTGCTTGTCCGGTTTACTCAAGAGACTCGTGCTATGGATAGTAGTAGACATCGCTGTTCGAATACCGACAATTTATTTTGATCCTGTTCACGTAATGGTCACATCTCTGCATTGTGTAGCAGCACTGGCCGAACTACTGCAGCATACATTCGAATCTTTACGGAGCGTCGGAACGTTGGGACGGCGCCACAGATTTCTCCAGTTGGGACAAGCCAACCGAACATCCTAAGTGCCAGCCGAAACCCCATTCTAACGGATAACATACACCTACCAAGGTAGCAAAAATTGTTCACTTCATCCATCACTTCTCCCAGGAACTGTGAGGTTGGAGGCCAGGTTGACCCAGTCCTGTAGCTACATTTTGCATTCTGAGGGCGCAAAGCGCATGGCAAACATGGCCATTCAAACTATACCGAAACGTTTTCAACCTACCTGGGTCTTCAGTTAGCAGTACAATGTCATCAGCATACCCCAAATCACGCAGTCTATCATTTGGGAGCAAGGACAAGGCTCTTTGCAGAATCAAATGAATAAGAAGTTGAACAGGAGAGAGAAAGGGCAAGCCTGAAGAACACCGCTTTTGGTCGTGACCTCGGGCGAGAAAGTGCCGTAGGCCCGGAATAACCTTTGGCTACTCGTGTAAAAGGATCGTAACATTGAAACAAACTTCTCGGGCACGTCCTTTAGGGAAAGATAACACCAGAGATAAGAGCGGTAGACAGTTAAGTATTTTAACCGTGACGAGTTCAGAGGGAAGGTTGCTTTTCACAAGATGGCCTTTCTTGTAAATGGGTAAGGTGTAAAACTCACAACTCAGTTGTAACCTGCTTAGTCTTCCATACTGAACCCAGGAGTTTCCTCAAGTCCAAAATTTCGCTGAACCTGTGTCCTTAAATGCTAACCGGGTAGAAATTCTTATACCTTTTGAGATAATTTATCTTCTAGGATGACTGGTATCAACTAGCGGTGTTTGCCTACAGGAGGTGGGGGTTGAAATGTCTACTTTCGATGGGGCCCTACCCAAACGTGCCTTAAAATCTTCTCTCCATCGATTAAGACGATGTTGTTGAACATGATTCACTCGACCGTCAGACTCCTTGATCACCTCATTCACGCCTACGAAAAAGGTTGCGACCATTACCTACAGCCGCAGCCTTCTCCATCTCTCCGCGCTTCCCGATCCACCTGTTCTCGCGGTCCTTTCTCAGGCTCTTGATGCGCTGGCGTTTAAGGAATTTGTGCGCTTTGTCGTATTTTGCACCAAAAGGGATGGCTTTGCGAGCGTCCAGCAGAGCAGGCGAAGTCGAGGAGATCCATCGTTTGTGCTATGATCATGCGCCAGAATCCATCGTAGTTTCTATCCACATTTGGATAGCTTTCTTGCTTAACGTTCATTTAGTCTTTTGACGGATAATTGAACTCAGAGGCAGTGAGAGAGCTCCATTGTGAATGCAGATTTGTAACTGCTACTTAAAATGCACTACGGTTATCTGTTTCGGGCGGCTTTGTTGCGCTTGTTCACCAGACGTGGGAAGAATCTCGCTCGTAACACAGCAAGGTCCACAGGTGTTGATCAGTGAAAGCGGCAGTCTCCAATGGATCCTCGTCAGTGGTAGCTGATGGCGATCGGGTCGATTCGGATCTATCGCTGTGAAGAAGTTGGCGGTCTTTGAGTTAGGCGGTGTCATTTTTTGGAAGAATTCGGGGCGTGAATTTGAAGTAGCGATCTCCTTTGACCGTCTGTAACGCTTGACAACCGCGTCAGTAACACTTTATCGTGAGTGCCTGTATTGCACTGGAACGTTTCGATTTGCCTTGCAGATTTATCTNCGGAAGACCTGTCTGACAGTGATTCATAGCTACCCCGTTCCTCGATCGCACTGCCACCCTTTAGTCGTTCTACCACCGTCATCCATCGCCCGCAAAGCCTCTTGTCGTCTCGAGGTGGAGAATACGAGCCGAGGAACATTCTGACGCCTATCTCTGTTCACTCCTCTATGCTGCATGAGCCCACAGTACGGTCGCATAACACGTTCAGCTGGCTGCAATGGAATGTGTACCAGTGAGGCACCATTCTGATTAATACAAGGATCCCACATGAGAACAGAAGTCCACAGAAACTACTACGATGACCGTCGACAGGATACTTTGGAGAAGTTGGGAAAAGTCATGCTTTATTTTGTGAGCACTGCTATTAATTAGTACTTGTGCCGCGACGAAAAATGGACATGGACGCTTCGTTCTGTAGGTGATGACCCCTACTGAACCGTTGAGACGTACAGTGTACTATTGGCTGCAGATTGGAATCCAGCCAAGAAGTGAACGCTCCGTCTTGACGCAGCGGAATTATAACAGCAGAAACATAACGAGTCTCATGTGCCGAGTCGCATGAGGCACAGAGAGCGAAGCACGAGGATGAGGTTGGATAAGAAGAACGCAGGGTGACAATTGAATTCAAGTATTGTATTCGCATTTCAAAGACACAGCACGTGTCTAAATGGAAAGCTTTAAGGGTTGTAGGTAAACCAACTTGACGGTCGACTTGATACGGTGTGCGGACACTGAATGCAGCCAAATGAAACGGATTTTTATCAACGCTATAGCTTTTGATTGGCTGATCTTACTAATTAAGCGCTGGTATCCCATGCGTGGCATGAGCAGGAGAGATAGAGTTTTCTAAATGAAAACTGAAGACTTTAAGACAAAATACTTCGCGATAGCCCCAACCGACGAATGGGATTTTCTTTGGAAAAACTAACCGGAGCCTTTGACTCAAAAGTCTTGCGCACAAGTCAGTGGGAAGTGAATCAAACGTGGGAGCGTTAGGGAAGCATCCATGAAACAGCCTGTAGAGACCTGTAACGCGAGGCTTCGAGTTTCGGTTCAGTGGTGCGTTGATTGGTCCGCCGTTCGGTATCGACCTCATGCACCCAATGATACAAGCGGATTGTGGACGGCACAGTACCTTATTGACTGGGAGCTACCCAACTTAAACGGAAGGCCTTTGTCCAATGAAGTTCGAAGACTTCTGATACCGTCGAGAGGAGGAACAATACCTCACGAAATGCTCCTATTCCATCAAGCGTTTTAAATAGCCTCCATTGAAGAAGCCTTACCCGCTACGTTCACGTGATTATTTCCGCGTAAAAATGAGGACAAAAGACCAACATCAGAGACTATAACCGCATCGACGAACCAGCCGAGAAGTTGGCAAAACCTCTGGTTTCAAACCTACTGAGAAGACGTTTACAGACCAGATATACACCTTACTGGTTGTGGCACTGATCACGGATTCCACCGCGCACTTCGAACTTTTAGACTCCGCTCGAAAAATGTACCATGTGATGAACTGAACAGCGTCCTTCTAATGGATCTCGGACTCTGTTGTCTTTCACATCCAAATCTTTTCTTTCATTTCTTGTGAGTGGAGGTTATTGAATGCAACCAATGAGAATATATGAAGGCCTCTTTCCTGCAATACATGTCTCGCGCGACTTTTGTTCACGAAAGGCGAATTCCTTACGTAGCGAAAATATGTTGCCCTTATTCAGATTATTGTCTAACAAAAACAACCCTTCAAAGCCAAATGTGAGAAACTGAGCAGAGCCCAGAGCTAAGGATGTTGTCATTCCTAGGTTTTGATGAAAAATATCGACCCTGTAGACGATGGACAGATAGCAAGATTCACGCGCTAGTTGTTCCAACGCATTTGTCTTCTGTGTATCCGCTGATAAATTAAAAGTAGAATTTGTCAACTGCCTTAAACTCCATTTAAAATTGATGAAAGAGCATGATAAATAATTACGGAGGAATTGGTTCAACAGTCACCAACATATGCACATCGTGGATCGATGATACTTAGAACCAGTGCTGCGCATGCTGTTGGTGATCGTGATGACAACCAGGAAAAAGCAAACAAATTTGGAATTAGATACCACGAGATTCTGGGATGTTATCACTGAGCTATAAACAACACTCTTAGCACGGCTTCATAGGCTTGATTGCATTAAAAAACAAGCCCTTCTTCAATAACCCGGTCGTCAGAAAAAACGGAGAAAATTTACCAAGTTGAACTCAACTACAGGAATGTGCTTTATAAAAGAAATCTTCAATATAAATCTCCAGCACTTTTGTTGAGGAAAAATCGATAGTATAAGCAGGATTTAAAAAGATTTTGCAATAGATGAAGGATTTGGTAAACAGGCTGTTGATTGGTGAACCGTGTAACAAGACAAGCAAAAGCCTAACGTATATAAATTGTTCAAGTGTAATAAAAATAGTCAATTCAAATAAATGATAATAGCTTATATCGAAATGCGTGAATAATAGGAAATATGGCGAGAGGGGCATCTCAGGCTTTGCGTTTCTTTTTACCGCTGCTTTTGTCGCCATTGACGACCGTATTCCGCACTGATTTCCGTCCAAACGGACAGACTGCATTATTCAAGCACCCATCACATTTGGGAGCAACCGGCAGACAAATCTGTTGTCCAAAACCAACAAGGAGCCAGTTGATACTGTCCCATTTCTCTCTGAAAAATAAAGTATTTTATGAGAGTGTGAGTGCGAGCAAGGATTCAGTGGCAGAAAATATAAACCGAAGGGAAACACGGCAGCGGCGCCCAAGAGCAGCATGACAATCCGTTGAGTTGTTCACGGAAACTCATTTCCAATCTGGTACACATGATGCGTTATTCACAAATCATTCACTCCCACACATTAAATAACATTATGAATACAAAGCAAACCAGTGATGATAGTAAAAACGTTGACCTGTGACTAATTGTGTACCTCCGGAGAGTGACTCAATACGTGGCTGAATAGCGAACGACAGAACACTGATGTAGTTCAACAAACCGTGTATCCGCATTACTATCTTCAGTCTATGTTCGGAAGAAACTTTGACTATTCGATTGACAATTTGGCAAAACCTAGATAAGAGAATGCAATTCCCTTGAAAGCGAAAAATCGGGTTTGGGATTCCTGGCCCGCTTCGGGTAGATATACATAACTCTTTTCTTCAGTTTCGCCTCTGCTTGTGTTTTTGATGTTTAACTCAATCAACAAAAACATTGTTTTCCCTTCTGTGAGCTCTCCTCGAGACAGAATTCATATGTCATTTAACATCATGACAGTAAGGGAATGTTGTGAGTGAGATGCCACAAACCTTGGAAAAAAGTCCACAAAGAGGACAAATTTTCAATGAATTGTAAAAAGGATAGCATCGAATGCACGAATCACGATAATTTCATAATCACTATCAAACTGATTCATGTGGGGACAACAGAGAGAACACAACCCGTCCCCGGAGGAGAGCTTGGTTCGTGCTTGCAGTGGATCTCTCCTCCATGGCACTGTCGGATTATCCAGTCGGACTAAACAGATTACAGCTGCGCAAATTTAATGCTCAGGTAAAAATAGTCGGCAATGTTCACTCATTAGACATCATGCCCAACCAACTGCTTCGGTGATACCTGCAAAAAGCCAATATCAGAGCGCAGGGTGTTGAGAACACAAAATTCCGAAAGCTATTGACAAAGTACTGGAAATCGGTTTTCGTGGCAAATTGCCAAGTTCGGCGAACAGGCGAACTGGAATTCCGAAAGCATTTCCACCATGCTAGCAGCTGAATGTATACAGTGCGCTAAAAGCCCTTTGCTAAAAAGTAGAAAAAACATATGATACTCGAACTTCTAAAGGGACACCTTCAAAATATTCGAGGTAGCACCTCTTGAAATGTTGTCCCTTTTCTAACACAGCAGACAGAAATGAAACAAGTGTTTTAGCGGCGATAGTTTTATAACTTCAAGTGTTTAACATAACTCAAGTTACCACGGTAATATTGGAACAAACAACACAACAATTACAGACAGGTCAATTTGTGAACAGTCTATTGAAAACGGACATTCTTCGTCTGTATACAGCACACTGGGAGTAGGGGAGAGGAGGCGGAAAAGGAGTGATATTGTAACGCACAAATGGATTGATTAGTTTGGGATCATTTTTATGTGAACAAAGCGCATAGTTTCTACCAAATAAGCTCCGTGTGAAATGACCGACTTCGTGGAGCACGAACGCCATAACATGTGCAAACCTTATTGTGTTAGTCAAAATTGTGGTCCTATATTGGTCCGAACAACTAAACCTCGATCGTTTAACGATCAATAAACCGAACACTGGGTACAGTATATCATTCCACGAAACCAGTCACGCGATGTGAGGATTTTAAAAGGTATCGACACGCAGCCTATCCCAAATCCACTGACAAAAAAATAATCAGCGCTTGCACAAGCCAGCTGTCCTCACTAAAACGTTATGATAGAAGAACAGGTAGAGTAAATGTGATTGGAATGTATCATTAAAACTAAAAGTTAAAGTACTGCGAAATATTGACCTTGCTATGAACCTATTTACAATGTGACGACATGATTCACGCGCTTGTTGTTTCCCTACTCGAACAACTCACACTGCAGTAGGGAAGGCGGTTATGATACAAACAAACTGTCGCTCGAGAAAATAGGAAGGAAGATAACTATAAATTTCCGTCATCAAACAACATTATTATTGATCATTTGTTCTATCGCAATGGTAATTCACATTACCATTGGAATTAATGGTATATATATATATATTGCACTTTTTTTCGATTACCGCGCTAATATAGCCAGGTCTGGGTTAGGGTTAAACGGTAGCACTAATTGAGGTCAGTTAGGCGAACCGCAACCATGTAGGACATCACCGTCGACCGAAAATTACTCGCATAGGGGACAGAAACGCTTCCGATTTGTGTCAGCGGAAGCGGGAGGGGAATTAAACTGCAGCCAAACAGCTACTTACCATCGTTCTTAGCTTTGTTCCACTCAGGATCGAACAGTTCGTGTTTCTCAACAGAAAATGGCAAGTTTAACAGACTATATAATCATGTGAAAGTAAACATTCTCTGGTCTCCATTTCGTTGAGTGTCTTTCACAGCACGAGATTCTTAATCTATTCACGATCACATGTACCACAGGATAAGAGCAATAAGAGAAATACGGTTAGTGGTCAGGTGCTTTTCTATTTATTTGAGTAGAATGAAGCTAAAGTCGAGTCAANGAGTGGAAAATTCAGACATGTAATAAGCGCGCGCGAGAGAGAGAGAGAGAGAAAAGTCCTACTTGAAAAGAACAAGGAGCAATTATTGTTCGCGGGTTGTGATCACTAAATTTGTGGCTAACTTCACAGCCGAACCTCATACTATATGGCTCTGCTCATTTTGATCTCCATCTACCCAATAAAGTGCCTTGTGAGAAGCCAATCAATCGAATAATCTGGTTCAAAATAAATAGGTTGTTCTACAGCCTGTATTTGGATATGGAAGGATATAGGTGCGACCTCGAAAAAGGTTAGACGAGATGCCTCAGTTCTCTTCAAACTCCGGACGGAACGACCAGACGGCAAAAGATCTTCGAACCTAGCGAGGAACTGCTCTCTACGGCGTTCCCGAAAACCAATACGGATATTTATAAAACTATCATGGCACCAAAATGCTCCGGTATGAAATAGTCATCTGAAAGTTGGGATTGAAACTTTTAACCAAGAAATATAACAGCGGTTTGCTGTTCACTTACACAAGCTTTCACGAAGTATGATCGTTATGGAGTGAGCAGAAGAAACGAATACAAAAAATTCATCAGATCAGCAAGGGTTTGGCGAAGTTCAGGATGGTATTTTTAACGCAAATGGGACACAAACTATCACCCTCGTAACAGTCACGTGAGATCGATTATAAGGCACAATTGATTTTCTTAAAGAAAGATTTCGAAACATCTCTACGACCGTATGTTTTCTGCTATGAACTATTAGAAGAACAAAACAAAGCACACATGTGAAAACGTATTTTTGTTTGCACACCTCAATGTCCTTGTTACTTTAGGGTACAAAAGCCCAAAAAGCCGGATACGTATGTGACTCCAACTCAAGAACCTTGATTTGACCAAATCCTTTTGAGCGAATTAAAAATTACACGTTGAATACAGGCGTTCAAGCAGCTAGAAAAGTGAAAAGAATAAGACATTTTTTTTAAAACGCCTGTGTGAACGTCTTTCTCGATACATCATAAGCATCCCCCAACTGACAGTCCTCAGTCAAACTAACAAACCGCTGATAATGGAGAACAAAGGTGCACGCAATACTACCTTAATAGTCATTTGCGCGAATGTACCCGAACCAAGGACGTAAACCTTGAGGGAGTGTCAAACGGAAGAGTTTAGCCACTGGAATGAGTTATGTTTCCAGATAGGCATCAAAGTGTACCTCACGTGCCACCTTCACGTCAGCCACCCCGCCTCATACTGGGAAAGCCAGATTGCTCCGGGCGACCTTAAAAAGCGAAAACCGAACGCAGAATTTTTTCTTCGTAGGGCTAATCGGAAGAGTGAGCGGGAGGCTGAAAAAAGGATCGGCTTCATCCATGGAGTCCCACAGGAGAACGATGCAAGGGAATCCGAAAGTTAGCAGAATGACTGCAACGAGTGGCGTGTCACAAAGGATTTGCTAGAATGTCACAATGTTTTTACCACATCAATCAATCGGCTTCATTGTGCACCAAACTACCATGGCAGGGGTCCAAAGATAATGAAAGTTACTCTTGATACTCCGGAAATGCCCAGTGCCGTTTTGCAGTCATGGCAGGAGAGAAAGAAATGAGGGCTGCCAAAACTGCGTCTGAGACCACTGTTCGATCCTAGATCCCCAGAAAGCCCATAGTTGGAAGGTACCGTCAATACACCAATCGGAAAACTAGAGTACCAGAGCACCCCTTTCGAAACACGATTGTTAGCCGGACACAATGTATTCGGCAAACATTTCACTTCTCAACCTATGGGATTTCAACATCGACGCCACCTAAACTTTTATTATACTAAAATATAAGGATTCCTCAGTAAATTTCCAAAATCAAGTGGCGTTTCGAATATGACCAATGGGATAGATATCCTTGCTGTTACTGAAACGTGGCTGTCAGTTGCAATTAGCGGTTCCGAACTCTCTTTAATAGATGTCTTTACTATGGTGCGATCGCCCAACACATGGTGGAAGTGTTTTACTTTATGTTCGTGACGATCTACAGTGCAAGGTAATCAACCCTGCGGTTTCGGCTCCTGACACACTTTAGGACTGTCCAAATACGATGAATGTTTGATTGGCACAGTTCATCGTCCCCCATCATCCCTGGAGACAGCCAACGAAACTCTTTTGCAAACTATATCACACTCTTACATGGAGGTTTACCTATGTTCTCTTAATGGGTGATTTCAACTGGCCCAATATCAATAAATCCGTCCGTCAACTATTCGAACATCAGTTCAAAAGGCTGGTTGACTCGTGCCTACTGTACAACCATGTGAAGGAGGCCACCATGTTTGTAAACCTGAAGTCACAAATACGGAGTGTAGTTTTGACGGACGAAGAGCTGATGCCAGAATCTTTCAGTATGACTCTCTCCCCCCTCCCCACCTAGGACGAAGCGATCATGCGGTACTTAAGTTTAAATATACTTGTTACAAGGAAGTTCTCCAGATAGCATGCACAGGATGATAGATTATACACGGTTGCAAAACTTGGCGCTCTCTGCTCAGCGGTTTTCCCATGGCGAAGGACCCAATCCGTTGGTCTCCCGGCAGAAAGTTACTGACAGTCTTCCAAACCTACTAACATCAGTGACTAAGAGTAGAGTAGTCACCAAACCTATCATTCGAAATTCACCTATTCAGAGCCGTACGAGAAAATGGATATCTCTGAGGGATTCATCCTGGAGAGATTATAAAGGTCTTTCGTATATTGTTACTTGGGATAATTATCGTATGCTGAGAAACCATTGCACTAGGCTGATTCGTGAGGATGAGCCAATGCACCAAGCGGTGCTACCACAGAGATTTATCTCCAACAGTAAGTTGTTGCACAGGCACGTTAACTTAATTCGGAATGTTAGATTGCTATGCCGGCAGTAAGCTGTGCTGGGAGAGTTATAGCCACTTCAACAGAATCAGCTGAAATGCCGAAAACTCAGTATTCCAAAGTTTTCGCTGCACTGCAGCTACCTCCCCGGTTGCATCATCTACCCTATCTCCCGCTGACCAATGTAACATTTACTGCTGAAAACGTCAAAGGAAAACCGATGGCTTTGAGAAAAAATGCAAGCCTAGTGCGGACAATACACACCCGAAATCCCTCACCTTTTTGGAGAGTCACATGTTCGAACCACTGGAAATTCTATTCCACCGAATGTTCCACAAAAAAACGCTCCCACAATCGAGGGAACAAGGAGTTACTTCACCGATATACAGAGGTCGTACTGACCTCTATAACTATCGACCTGTAACCCTACCACCAGTGCTATCAAGTCATGGAGTCAATTGTGGTAGACTATCTGACCGAACAATTAAAAAGATACATCATTCAACATCATTTCGACAGCTCAACATGGGTTCAAGCAAAAGCGATCCTGTTTCACCAACTTGCTTCATATTCGAGATGAATGGATCAGAACAATCGACGAAGAGGATGCGGTGGATGTGATTTATCTGGACTTCTCAAAAGTATTCGATCGGGTAAATCACCAAATTTTGCTACAGAAGCTTTACAAGTACGGCATTTGATATTTCATGCTTGATTAGATTAAAGCATTCCTCCGACAACGGATCATATCAGTTCGTGTTTCAGATTCCACATCCGGATCTATCAACGTTGGCAGCGAGTCCCACAAGGGTGTGTATTTGGTTTCCCACCTTTCCTCCTATTCATAAATGATCTACCGAATGTGTTAGGGACGAAAACAATGCTGTTGGCAGACGACGCCAAAATCTGGAATACGGTAACAGAACCCTAAGGCTCGCTATCACTTCAAGAAACACTTAACGTAGCCTGTTAATGATCTATGGGGGACGACATTGAATTCAACATTTCTAACTGCAAAGTCCTATCCCTACGCTACAAGAGTAGAATCTCGTATTTCCTTGGAAATCAGCGGCTGTCACATACTTCAAGTGAGGACTTAGGTATAACTGTTCAAATAAGTTGTTCGATCAATTGCACCAGGGTTTTATCCGCTGCTGTGAAGAATCTCGGTTTGTTTAGGTGAGTGTTTGGTCGGTTTGAATCAGCACTGTTCCCACGTTTGCTATCAGTGTGCATTTGACCGCACATTTAAGCTTTGGGTCCATGATTGCAACAGGATCATAAGACGCTGGAGCGTCTACAAGGGATCGAGACCAAGATGTTCAAGGGATTGAATTGCCTCGCCCATGAGGAGAGATTATCATTGGGACTATATGCTGCTCAGTACCGCCAAATTCGAGGAGACTTGATTTTCGCGCATCAACTACTGCAGAACCCAAACCATCCATGTCGGCCGATGCTTATATTGTCGAACAACATATACCACGGGGGACATCGTTTCAAGTTACTAATTCCAAAAGGTCGACTGGAACGCCGCGGTCAATCTTTTGCAGTCAGAATATGCAGTACTTGGAACATCCATCCATCTCACGTCGTTTGTGTACCCACTATTAAATCTTTCAAGCGGAGATTTGATGAAACCGTGGCATATCTCGCATTCCTACACAAATAGAAAAACGCAAATTCGATGAAGACAACATTATCTGTTATCTCCTAGAGGGAACTGTATGCGACATTACATTATTTTGCCGAGAAACGATTTAACTGTGTGTGTGTGTGTGTGTGTGTGTGTGTATATAGATGGACAAGAGAAGCATGAACTTGTAAGTAATTCACACTTGGACTTAGAGTTTGAAAATACTGGAAGTCAATCCATAATTTATGATTTAACGATTCGGGTTGATAATAGGTTGATAATGGGTTTGAATCCCATTGGATTCGGTGAATAAAAACTGCACTAAAAAGTTTGAATAAAAGGAAACAGAGGTATAATGGTTACAAAGTGGTGAGTGATAAGTCAACTTTGAATGATGGATACATACTCCATTCAAAAAGGAACGACGGTCACATTAAGTGGACCAAGCAGACCGGTAACTTTACACCTTGCCATAATGCCTGAATTAGTTAAGGATCTGCAAAATTTACGAATCGCTTGTACTATTTTTACTCACTTAGGGAGCCATGCTTCAAGCGCTTTTCGTGTCTCTTCTGGTGTTTTCGCTGGTTTCTTAGTCCAGCCGAGTCGGTTGACAATGCGATGCACATGTGTATCCACCGCAATACCGGTGACTTCATTCCACGCCACGCGCGTGGCTAAGTGAGCCATCTTTGGACCGACACCTGAATGAAACAAACGGAGTTTTCAATAGAACGGAACATCTGGTTGGGGTCAGAGTACTGGTTAAAGATGTATGAGACCTACCGGGTAGTTCGCACAGGCCCGCCACGGTCCGTGGAATATCGTAGTCGTATTTTTCCTTCAGTAATCGACAAGTTCGTTGAATGTACACAGCCTTTTGCTATACAGACCCCGAAAGCGTGATGATCATGCAAAATGCAACAGATGAACGGAGTATGAACTACCTTATAAAATCCGACCGGATAAATCAATTGTTCCAAGGTTGTCGTGTTCATTGCGAGCAGCTGGTCGACAGTACAACCAGCCGCTTGTAACCGCGCCATCGCTGCCGCAGTCACTTGGTCTTTTGTTTGACTGGAAAGCATCAGACTGAGTAGAACCTGCAAACGGAAGACCTGAATGAAAAGTTAGCAACAGTCCGGATACAGATAAACTACTTTTGGATCCTCGATTCGGCTGGCTAAACGTTCACATCCCATTGTATCCACCGGAGCATCACGAGCCTCACGCATTCGATCTATATTTGCCAGTTGTTCTCGCCAATTCTTCGGTTCCCATTGTTTCAAAGCAGGATCCGGAACAATTGTTTCAATATCTTCTATGGTTCGCTTTTCTGCTAGACGACGATGACTGCCTCTAGTGATACCCATTTTGCCACGGGCTAATTAAAGCGGAAAAGCCGAGGAGAATGCTGAAACTATCCAACAACAAAAAACTTCAATGAGCTCCAGAACGGCACACCCACAAAGTAAATGGAAACTGTTAGTAATTACCGTGTGAGGATTGTACAAGTCTTCTGTGTTGAATTATTGAAAACTAGTCTGTTTATTTCCGGTTCACTAGATTTATTTTCACCTGTCCGTCAAGAATGACAATTCGTATACAAATGTTTACGATCAGTCGAAGTGGTATGTTCAGCTCGCAACTGAACTAACACAGAGTAGGGCGTTTTCCCAATTCGGAGTGATTCAGTTTACCAAGTGATCTCTCTTGTGTTTCATCACCTGATCAGTGAGTTGCATGGGCACGGGAATGTCATCAGAATCAATATAGTGGTTGACCAGTTTGTTCCAGAAAATCTCTGACGTGTTCTGACCATACTAGTTCGATGAGAACCACCGATCCAAAGTCAAATACCCATCGGAAATAACTCGCATGGAGTAAGACTGAGCGATGTTTTCTGACTGTCGTCTGATTCATGAACCAAAGAATGATTGTTTTCTTCCAAGTAGTCCAAAAAAGCGTTTGGGAGGATCCTTGCAATTTATTCAGAGTACAAGGTTACTCTAGCGGCTTCGTTTATATATATATATATATAT